AAGTAAACACCAACCTATTTTTCATGAGCCAAATGTCCAAAAAAATGGTAAGACAACCGTACAAAAAAATAACATAAAAAACAAGCTTAACTCTTTTTATTTCCAAAAATATACTTTGTGTTTTGTGATATTGTGTTATTGCAATATTGCGTTATTATATTTATATTATGTATATTGTGTTTCTTTATATTTTAGATAATATAATAAAAACTTCCTACTAAATTACTTGTATTAGTCTTGATCGGGTCTACAACATGTTTCTGAAAAGAAACTCCTCAAAAATACGTTTGCATTAGGTTACCTAAAAAAAACGAGTCACAGAATTTTAGCACAAAGTTCGGCTTCGCAAATCACTATTTCCGCGTACCTATCAAAGTAAAAGGTTTATTTTCTATGACCCTGTCTAACCAAATCAAACTTATATCAGTACGCCTTGCTTTTAAAAAAATGAACACAAAACAGTTATTGTCATAAACCAAGAAAAACCAGAGAGATGTTATAAAAATAAAAAATAATATAAAGTCAAAAATGAAGGAAAAAAACTTTCGAATCGCATCGTTACAATGTTTTATTTTTACAAGTAAAATCTACATCACTATCTCTAGTATCCCTTTACAAAAATACCTTCTTTTCGAAGTTTTTTCTTTATAAAAATGCGTCATTATTATATTAAAGAAAACTAAACTTATAATACTAACTTCTTCAGATCACAAAAAGTTTACTGTGAGAAGTAATATTATTTGTACAAAATACTGTGCATGCAACAAAAAATATTAGTTGTGCATTTGGAAACTGGTAAAACATGGGCCATAACAACCAATGCATAAATACAAGTTATTAAAAATAAAATAATGTAGTTATTTTATCTATAGCTCAATTACCAGTGTTTTTACAATCTTAATATACAATAGTAAATATAAACTAGTAATATCAAATAAAACATTGCAGTTAGACAAAAGGTATTTTCGGTTTATTTTTGATAAATGTATAGGTTTTAATAACTTTGTTAATAAAGATTTACATTTCACTTTTAATAATAGTTATTTATTAAATTTTGGGGGAATTTTTACTTTTATAGACTCTTATTTTATTTTTCTAGTATCTTTCTGCATTACCTTACTTCTGCATTACCTTACTTCTATTACTTCTTCAAGTCTTTTATTTAATGGTTTGTTTTTTTATAATCAAAAAAATAACAATACTAAATTATTTTGTCATTATTTTGTGTATTATATTAAGATAAGATATTTTAAAATTATTCTTTAAGAAACCTTTGAGATGATAGGAAATAGTAGGAGGAGTTTCTTGAAGATTCGGGTTGTTAGCAATATCTAGTTTTATTGTATATCAATTCTATTTATGTCTATCGGAAGGCTTTGGTTCGTGAATGATTAAAGAATTAACTAATAATAATTAATATCAGATTAAATTAATCTGTTTGAATTTCATTTTTCATTTTTTGCATATAGATCATAGATTATAGATGTTACCTATATCTGAACTCCAATCTTCATAAAATTAATCCGTTCGACCAATTTATGGAAATTAAAAAGATTGAACTAAAACAAAGTATTATATACAATACTTTATTTAAGTCCCATCTCCTTTTTTTTTGTACCAACGTTAATGTAACATAAATAAGAAGTATAAAACCATTTTATATTGTTAATATATTTGTAATAAATAGTTATTTTAACAAAAAACACCCAAACTTTGACTATCACAGTCATTTACAAAATTTGAAACAACGAAAAACCTTTTATAATTAACTAAACAAAGCCGCCATTTCGTTTATTTATCTCAATGAAAAAGTCATACATTAAAACAGTACGCTGTGAAAGTCCCTAATAAACTTTTTTCTGCGTTTTTCTGTCCGTTTGTCATGTAAGTCGTGTATCAAAATATTTTGCAGTTCAATAATCTTGGAAGAAAATTCAGTAAGTGGATTTATTAAGGCCATTCTCAATCGTTTATAAGTAATAATAAATCAAAAAGAAGCCAAGAAAGTGAAACCAGGAGCGTGACTCAATTGAAGAAAAAAATAGTGAGCTCATTCAATATTGGTTTCCGAATTGAAAAGTTTTTTTGTGCTGACGAAATCAAACATTTATTTAACTAGAATTAAAACTTAAAATAATCTTATCTTAAATTGAATTATTAGCAACAATAATTCAATTTAAGGTAAGATTATTTTAAGTCGTTTACTATGCATTAATACATAACTACATAAAGATGGACAACCCCAATTCGAAATATTTTTTTTTTATTCGGGATTTTATAAATAGTAATTTTCTTTTATTTCAATCATTGTAGAACATATTGTTGTTGTTGAACAAAAATGTCAATGTAGAACAAAAAAAAGAGTACCTACATTTATCAAATTTGTGCAAAAATTGATCTAATTCATCTTATGAACAATTAGGGTAAATTTTATTAACCTAACAACGCCCATAGCAAATATTTGTGCAGCCGTGGCGCAGTGGTCAGAGTTTTGGTTCAGAACCAAGAGGTCCGCGGTTCGACGCCGATTCTGGGCCAATAAGCAACATTAGTAACAAAGTTAGCGTGAACTTCCTAGATGCTCTTCATGTTAGATTTTATGAAAGTTGCATACATGCTGTATAAAGTAAAAACAGCAGTGTAAACTTTTCATGTCATGTGTTAATTTATGTTAACTTATACATTATTACTAAAATACAATTTACAAAATAAAAGTGTGTTCAAAAAACTTCAATGTATCATATGACTTACAGTTATCATGTGATAGTTGAAATTTTTTGCAAAGTACAATGCAACTCTCTCCAAGCCTTAAACCAATTTTAAACACTTCGAGGCATGTGAAAATCAGCGTACTAGGGAATCGATGTTTGTGCTAAAATTCTGTGCCACGTTTTTTGAAGTAAGCTAGAAAGGTTGGAAAAAATTATATTTTGAATAGAAATTGATAACAATGATATTAAATTGCATGACAATTTTGAACGCTGATGATGACTAATTTTTATATCCTTCTAATTAATTCCATGCAATACTACGACATAATTTAGATTATTTGTCGGACTAAATTTGAAAGCTAAATGATGAAATAATGAACTAAATAAAGAACTTCTTTTTCCTAATCAAAAAGTCCTATTGGAACCTATACAAATTTGGAACAAAAATTTTAGATTTTAACCCCAATAAAATAAAACACATAATTGAAACATTTTTTTTGTTTCAAAATCCTATAGAATTTCTTGGCTAGAGTTAACCAGCAATTTGGAAACAATCAATGACTTATTATAACTAGATATGTGACATATGGGTTCGAGGATAGGTTCAATTTTCAAGGATATTCTTGAAAAGAAATAAATATGATCTTATTTAGCTCTTTCTAAATTTATAATTTTTAAAAAAAATTAATTTACCTTACTTGCATTAAATGCTCAGATAAGCTAACGCACAGTAGCTTGAAAAAAATTTTTTTTTTGAAGGTAACATTTACATCAACACTGAACAGTTGCATGTTTGGATATCTTCAATATATTGAATGCATATTAGTTTAAAAAGATTATTGAGCCGAAACACAGTAAATATTTTAATTATTTTTTTTTTATTCAGTTTCGATTTTTCTGAACAGTAGTATAGTGGTTGTTTAAAAAATATATTATACATAATTTTAGAAGTAACGTTTCTTAAATTATGTATCATACATATATTAATATTTGTTATACAATTTTAATGTATACTTATTATTTTTTTTTTTGTTATTTAGGTGCCCCAAAAAACCTAACGGTCTTATCACAGAGCACCGCAGAAGCGCATTTAACCAGGAAGTTCACGCCTCCTTTCTTACCGCGAAGCGAAAATGTGTCCAGATCTCGTTTCGGGTCTGGATCTCCTGCTTATATTGCAAGCGCTCTAACCACCGCACCACGGCCGCACAAATTAAAACTATTACTATCTAGGACTTAGTTTAACTTGGCATATTAATATTAGTAATAAATAATAATAGAATTTCATTTTTTATAAAATATTAATCTTGTTCTATTTTAAAAAAAGTATCTGATGATATTAGAAACAATGCTTGGGCAACTGAGACTTTTAGTCATTTTTGGTTATTGGCATTAAGAAAACGATAAAACCACAGAGCAACGCGAAAAAGCATTTACCAAGGAAGTTTATGTCGTCTTCCGCGTCGCATATTGTCAGAGCGGGCATAGAACCTCACAACTTTTGTATCTAAAGCCAGCACTCTATGGGGTTGTCCTAACCAGGGGTGGCGCTAGCATTTTTTGGTCTTCGAAATATCTAACTTCCAGATATAGAGCAAACCCAAACATTTATGTTTATACATATGTCAAATAAGGATGCTTTGCAAAAAGTTGCGATGATTGGAGCCTGGGAACAAAAAAAGCCCCAAACGTTTAGCCTTCACCCTGCCCCAAACGTGAGAGCAACAAGTTGATGAAGTATTTTTTGAAGCATTTTTAACTAGACTTATATTCATCGATAAATTTTAAATTTCAAGGTAAAGTATTTTAGCGTTCAAAAAATATAACCATTTAAAATTAACCCCGCCCCCCTAAATTTGAGGGGGATTCAAATTTTATATGGTCATAATTTTTGAAAACTGAGAAATTATAACATGAAACTTAAATATTCTCGATGAATATAAGTCTAGTTGAAAATATACAAAAAAGACTTCATCAACATGCTGCTCTCACGTTTAAGGCAGGAGGGGCTAAACGTTAGGGACTTTTTTGTTTCCAGGCTCCAATCATCGCAATTTTTTGCAAATCATCCTTATTTGACATAAGTATAAACATATATTTGGAGTTTGCTCCATGTCTGGAAGTTAGATATCTCGAAGACCAAAAAATGCTGGCGCCACCCCTGGTCCTAACCACTGCATGACGGCTACTTATTGTCTGCCTCTTTAATTTAGTTTTTTTTTTAATTTATTTTTAAAATCAAAATAGAACCATTTATAACGAATAATGAATAATAATGAATAAGCCAAGTTCATTTACGCATTAGTATAAATCATTTAAAATGAATTTTATATAATATTGTATCGAAATTTTTTTATAAATATGCGTATAGCCTACGATAACCATGCTGATGGCACATTAAATTGATTAATTATCGAGCCGAGAGAACTTGATAAATATGAGAACCATCGTTTTACATTCTTAGGCAAAGTTTGAAAATGAAGTTTATTTGTGAGGATTGACGAAAGAAGGACAAGATCAGCAACAGAAACAATGTTGCCACAAATTAAATGATTTTGGCCTAAATGGGCATTTAGACTTTTCATAGAAGCATCTTTTTCTTTTGAACTCCCATTAAAGATCTAAATAAAAAAATAGAAACTTTAAAAATACTATGTTCGATAAATCATAAGATCATAGTGCAATACTTTTACATACCTATTTTTTCATGTTTAAATTTTTCAAAATATATAATTAAATTACTTTTATACATCCATATTTTTTTACGCTTATACATTTTTTTACATGTTTATACATTCTTTGAATTTTATTACCATATCTTAGATAAATTATCTTACGGGTCATCTATAAAGTACGCCCAGCTGAATTAAACAATTAAATAAAGATATATCATTTGCTCTCTTGCGCGGGGACTTCATTAAAAATCTTTTTAATATCTATTTATTACTTCATTGAAAACCTCTTTATTATCAATAAAAAATAGAAACATTAAAAACAAATGTCCTATTTAAAAACTAAATTTAGTGAGACTTTATGGATCACCCCTCAATTATTGAAAAAATTTAATTTAAATCAGATAAATTATTTACATATTAACACGAAATAATATTTAAATGACGCGTTAAATATTCTCGGAATTTTTTTAGGGTGGTGCAAAACTCTTTATTTACCCCTCAACCCGGTGAGGCGTTTAGGTCTATTTAAAAGGAGGAGTGGCACTAACCAAAAATTTTATTTAGTCTTGTGATAAATTATGTCGGAAATTAGAATATACTTTACTTGTAAATTCAATTATGTAAAAATGTATCATTATTTTAAAATTTGGAGTTAACAATCGAACACATATAAGTAATTCTGAAAATTTTCAAACCTCAAACATCATTTTATCAAAAGTTATTTTAAATAACAAGTTAGTGAATCTTTTGGTCTAAATTTCATGTATTCAGCTTTCCTCAAAAGAGAACTAATAACAGTACTACTTGATATATATAAAAATATGCATATACACTAATTTTTACACAAAATCTAACATTGTGTGATAAATTTCAAAGCAGCAATCAATATGTAGCCCCGGCTCGGAGGAGCAAGTTTTGGATGCGTGCACAGTTTTTGTTTTTTAGTGGTTTCTCGTTATTGCTAAGAATTCCTCGAGCATAGCAAAATCTACATAATTTAGAAGGCCTAACTTTTGTATCCTGTGATGGTTGTTTGGTTGCCAAAAAGTGAAGCCCAGTAAGCCGGTTCATAGTATCACCAGGAATAAGTATTGCATTTAGCTTTGGTGAAGACAACAATATTAACTTGATTGTGTCATGAAAAAAATATAAGAAATTAGTGTTTTTGTGGTGTGTTTTTCTTTACAAAACTTTATGGCTATTTAAAAACCCTGAGAAATAAGTCTTATTGCAAGTTTTTGATACCACTTGTTGTTGGTCAACAAAATCTACACCACCTTACTATTTTATTCTTTTACACAAATCTGCTTTTGAACATTCAATCCAGTGTTATCAATAAGTTTCATGGATGGTTGGTAACATGTTGACAACTTTTTGTTTACCTTAAGCTTTATCTTTTGGTTCTTTTCTTTTGATTCATTGAATACACAAGCATTAGAGTATTAGCATCATTATTTAAAAAATAAAACTTTTTCTAAAATTTCTTTAAGAATTTTTTTTGAATAAATAAAAAAATGATTTGACATAATTGTGTCTGATTAACAAAAAAATACTTTGCGAGTGTTGTGCTAGTGTAATTGTCAGTGTAAAGACCTTGACCAATAAAATGTTCCATCAGTGCAGAAGGTATTCTTGCTGATCAAGGCATCTGATCATTTATGTCATCATCAGCAAAAATTCCATTCTCACAGTATACAAGTAAGTCTAGTGTTAATCCTTCTGAAGTTGCTAATTCATATACAAAAACGTGCACGCTTGGTTCTATTATATTGACAGAAATAAAGGCAACTTTTATATATGACAAGCGATTCATCAACACTGAGCTTTTTTCCTGGTTTATATAGTTTCAAACCAGTTATGCATAGTATTGATGGTCGAACTTTGTATAAATGATCTCTGTTTTCACCAGTTGAATCATAATTTTCATCATTGTTATTGAAATGAAAAAAATCAATAACAGAAAAAAAATTTTTTTTGTTCTATTCTAACTTTCAAATCGTCTTGAAAAAGTTCAGGAAATCTATTAGATCAACAAGAACATCCTTATTTCCCAAGTTGCCAGAAAATTTTTGACGTTACCATGACTGCCTACTTTACCACAACTACTAGTTAGCTTTTAAATGTTTAAACAGCATGATTATGTATATTGACATTGAATACAGCATCATCAGCAAAAACTTCCTATCAGTAGCATGTTAAGGATCAGCCAGGGTAAGGATCAGGCAACACTTTTAATAAAAATTACTTTATTATTGCATTGAAAACCAGTACCACCTCGAACATGTGCCTCCACCTCTAGTATCAATTTTGCTGTCCCATGAACTTGACACACGAAAAATTTCACTGTCGGTATTGTTAAATGATGACAAAAACAGAATTAAAAAAAAGTACAACAGCTTCTAATTGATCAGTATTTTTCCAAAAATCTTGAAGAAAATTATGAAAAATTATTTTCATAATTTTCATCAAATATTTCTAGCCAGAGCATTTAAAAAATTCTTTTAAAATTTTTCAAAACTATTGCAATATTAACACACACACAAAAAGTTCAAAATATACATATTTAAACATTTAGGTATCCTAAAATATCATAAAAACATTAATAATATAAATTTTCCTTAAGATAATTATAATAGTGCTAGCTAAGATCGGACCCGTAAATATACGGGCTTTTGTATGTCTATTCCAAGCTGAACTTTCCGATACTTTTTCCTTATATATCCTAGCTTTCCGGATCCGTAAATTACAGGTCTTTACCAATTTACATTTCTATTCCACACCGATTATTTCTATACTTATTTCTTATTTACTTCAATATTTTTAAGTAAAATAATTTTGTTCTGAAAAAAAACTTTAAGAGCAAAAAAATTAAAATGCGCACCGCATACGTTTCCGCATACGTAGAGCTTATAATAGACTTATAGGTAGTGCTTCCAATACCGGTAGTACCGGAATACCGGTATTACCGGACATTTTTAAGTACCGAAATACCGGTATTGGTTTGGCTCAATACCGGTATTAAAAATATATGTAGAGGGCTTGTGATATAGCAGGTGCTATCGCCCTCTTTACGTGAAACACTAAAGTAAATGAAATACTTAAAACTTTCAACAACGCTTCCGGTAGGAAAAGATAGCTAGATAAGAAAAGACGTGTTTAAATTGTCTAAAACAAGTATTCTACGTACTTTATACTTAATATCTAGTTGCCAGCTCATTTCCCACTAGGTTTGGTAGGAAATGAGCTAGCAACTAGCCAGCGAACAGCTAGCGTTTAAGACGTATAAAATACGTAGAATGCTTGTTTTAAACAATTTAAACACGTCTTTTGTCATCTAGCTATCTTTTTCTTACCGGAAGCGTTGTTTGATCGTGACTGGAAGTTTTAAGTATTCCATTTACTTTCGTGTTATCATTAAATAATGAAGCACCAATTTAAAATATTATCATTACGTCACTCGCTTTAATGTAGAACGCATGTTTGAATTTTGCACTAATGTAAATATGAAAAGTTTCGGTAATGTAGAAAGTGGGGCGTTTAAGTAACTGTGATCAACAGTTGTGCATTAGGCATGGGATTCAACTAGGTATTCAAGATATTTTGTACAAAAAATTCGTCAATTTCTGCAAAAAAAACTTGAAAGTAATATGCAATAACAGAGAAAGTGACGAGGAAATACTGATGACACAAACATAACCAATAATGATGAAGACTTTTCCGGCGGGTTTCAAGTTGTAATGAGTGAAGAGAGTGACTCTATTGAACTGACTGATGATTTGCAGCCGTTAATCAAAAAGGTGCGCACCGTTGTGAAATTTTTATTTCGCCGTTCTCCGACAAATAATGATCAAAATTCAAAAACGCATTTGATAAAGATATTCCACTAATACTTGGATCCAAAACTAGCTGGGTTAGCTTGCACACAGTACTCGAACGTTTTGTATAATTAAAAAAATGCATTCACGAGTCACTTTTTGCCCTTAAGTCCAAAGTTGAGGTAACTAATAATGAGTCCGATGCAATATTAGCTGTTAACTTATGTCTTGCGCCAGTAAAACTGGCTGTGGAAACATTGTGCCAAAATCATGCAAATCGATAGATAACCTTTGAGAAATCGATTTAGCTGTAAAGTTATGTTGGTGCAACAATTCAATGAGCAACGTACTCTTTTTCCAGCATAAACATTTTTTGCACAAGGGACATCAACGTTACAAAAATTTGGATCTAGCTCAATCTTTTGAGCACCATAGCAAATTAGCCATTGTAAATACCATTACTCGACTGAAAGATCGGCTCAATCAGAAAGGGTATAGTCCTCTCCCTTTCACCAGCGTTTTTTCCGATAGTGATTCTGTGGACAACGCTGTAAACTTGTCATTGAAAAAAAAGCTTGACTTTGCAATTTTGAAAAATAAGAAATGTAACAACAAGGGAAAATTGAATGTTTCGAATAATTCATCAAAAATTATATGTATTGAAATAGGAATTTTTGAAGGAGGAAATCGTTGTATATATTTGCAAAATTCCTACCATTACTTGAAAACTGTGAAGCCAACAAAATTAGATAATCTTTTGAAGATGATGTTCTGAACGCCCTATGTTTTTTACGGGCTCATTTACAAAGCAGAAAAAAGCGAAAAATGAAAAAGTTAGTAGTTTTGATATAAAATAGATAAGCTGATTGAATCAATAAAATTTTTACTAATAACTTGAGATTTTATTTAGATTATGATAAATTTAAAAATAAAGTTTAATACCGGTATTACCGGTATTGTAATTATTTAGTACCGATATACCGGTATTGAAAAATGGTATCGGTATTGGAAGCACTACTTATAGGTTTAGGTTTGTTTTTCTATGTTTTCTGCATTTTATTAATAGCTCAGTGGTTAAGTGCGCTGTCATCAGTGTTGTTTTGGGGGGTTTAAGACCTCCTCTTAGCGTAA